GCTCCCTGCCAGGGATGTGCTGCTGTGTCACAGTGCCACTGGCTGAGCAGGGACCTTGCAGAGCAACGGTCTGAGAGGCTCCCATCGACTGCTCTGAGCTGATGCAGGACACGGGTGTCAAAACATCCCTGCTTCAACACAGAGGGTTAATCCTCAGTCCTGGGAAATTTCTCCAGAGACAACACCAGCTTCAGCTGCCACCAGGGGCAGTTGCATCAGTTACAGGAATCACAAGAGGGTTTTCAGTCCTGAGCATACCCCAAACAGGACAACAAAAAGCTGCTTCCTGACAACAGGCATCTCTCAGCATACAATAAATCCAAAATGTATTCTCCAAATATTTATAAATTCTACTTTTCCAGTCATGTCAGTACCACTAATCCTGTACCCCCTCTGACTGGGCTAATGGAGCAAAGTGAAGCAAGACAAACGTTTTAAAGCTCCACCTCTTGAAAAAAAGAGTTCTTGAGATTTCCAAATCTTGATATCATACATATAGACCAAAATCACATTCTTCTGATCAAAGGACAACATTCCATTGAGTTCAGACTTGCAGCCTCAAACATATTCATTTTCTAAAGTCAATGAAGACAGTGAGGCAAGAGATTTTACTTAAACTATATATTTTTACATAAAACAACTTTATGTTACAATAAAATCAGATAAAAATCACAAAGTTATATAATAAGTTCATAAAGAAAAAAATCAATTTTTCATTTTATAGATATAAAACCCAGCATTTACTGCTACTAGGAGTCTAAATATTAACATTGACTGTCTATGGTCAATTTGAAAAAAGAAAAAAAAAGAGGATAGTACTTTTTTACAGCAGACAAAATGAGGTAAGAGATGTTTTTACAATGATCCAACTGTAGTAAACACTTCAGTTTTCATTGAAACATATACTAAATATAATAAACCCAAATAAAAATATACATTTAGAGCACTGCAGTGTTTTCCCACAGTTGTATATCAACAAATTGTCATTCACTAAACTTTACTTGAAACAGTAAAAACAGGGTGTATGTTTACCTTTAGTACTAAAATCTCATAATAATCTAAATATTTTGGTATAGCAGACCACACTAGTACACTCTCAGAACTTTCAACTACAAGGGATATACTCATGTTAAAAACAATGTGCTTTGTTTGTCATTCATGATGAGCTTTATAGAATATTATGTTTATGATCACTATTAGGCAATTAAATGAAAACATCTAAATGCTGCAAAATACTATTTTATTGAGCATAGCTTCCTCATCACATACCCAGGTTAATCAAAATCCTGCAAACTTAGAAGCTTAGTTCACAAATCTTACACATCAGTCTTTTCAGCTAGTATATGGCTAAAATAATTATTGCTGACCAGTGTTAAAAAAATAAACAAACCCAACCCAAACAAAAATACAATACCAAACATATTTTTCTCAAGTGCCTTTCTTGTATGTACCATTATTATTAGGTAACTAAATTAAATTAACTAACTTTCAAAATGTGCATATAAAATTTTTGGAGGTATAGGTACCTTCATCTGAAGACTGTATGTTCAGGCTACCTGCTTTTAAAAAAAAAAAAAAAAATCAGAGCTAGCACAAAGCAGTAGAAAATCAAAGGCTGGACATCCAACATCCCCCAGGGATGCAAGCAAAGCCCTCCTGGCCAGGACCAGCTCTGCCCACAGCCTGCAGGAGAGCCCTCCTTTGGGAAGCACCTTCATCACATTTATCATTCACCTCCTGACTATTTCACTTCAGGTACCTTATCATTTACTGCAGAGAATGGTATTTAGGATGTGCAAACTTCATGTCAGGTTTACATTCCAGAGGTGACCCCAAAGCCCCGCTGAGCTCCTGGGGTGTGGGACTGCAGGCACAGCATCCCTGGCCAGGCTGTGGGGCCAGCAGGGCTCTCTGCTGTGCCTGGGCTCATCTTGGGCTGGCTTTTGCCCTGCCTGGCACACAGGTGCTTGTTGAACACAATCCGTGGAAAGAAAAATTACCTCAGGGTAGTTTTTGTCACAGCACTGCACACAAGCACATCCCACCAGCCCAGCCTGGGACTCCTTGCTGTCCCTCAGCCTCTCAAAATCTGGACCTGCCCTTCTGCAAGGTCCCTGCTGCTGCTGAGGCCCTGTGGGACAGGAACAGCTCTTCCTATTTTTGCCTGGAAGTGTCTGACCATAACCAGAGCCATGGCTGCAATGCTCTCTCAGCTCAGTGTATGGATTTGCCCTTCCACCCCTCACACTCCTCCCTCCTCCTGTGATATGCTGAGGACTTTTTGATATTTACAGGCTTGACAAGCCCAGAACTGCCAAGACAAAGGTGGGGAGCTGGTGGATTGGTGTGGCCATCCAGAATTTTGGCACATCCACAGCTCATGGCAGAGCACATATTTCACTGAAATCTCTGCTGAAACAATAGCCAAAAAAATTTGCTGCTGCTGCCTCCCCTTACACCTCTTCCCTTCAGATTTAGCATCGGGCACACATTAAGCTGAAGGAGGCATTTCACCCTGACAGGGGGTTTATCTTTGTTAATCCATAGGCTCAGGAAGACAGCACTGTATTCCTTACAAGCCACTGCTGCTTTGAAGAGTTTTGCCGAGATAACTCTTTGGAAGAGCCTAAGGAAGAGCTTGGTCTTGTGGCTGAGAAGCTCCCAGCACTGCAAGGTGGTGACAGTAACAGGGAATTTTCCTTCTGTCACTTATGACACACCCAAAGGTGGCAAAAATTAATATGGAAAAGAAATGAACACTTGGGGAAAAAAATAAACAGCACAGAGAAGAGAGCAGATGTTTATGGACAATTTGTGCCCTGCTGCCAATGGGACCTGTGTTCCCTGTGCCCGAGAAGCCACTGAGCAATCACTGGACAGGGCAGGTGAGCCCCTGCCTTAGCACCACGAGTGCTTTGGCTGATACCCTTGTAAGACAATGGCAGTGGCAGGGACAGCAGGCAGAACAGCAGAAACCCTTCCTGCTCACCTTAATTCACCAAGCATCCATCTTTAAAGAACTGTTCTCCCTAAATTTCTCACATAAAAGCCAAATCAGGTGTTTGCACAGAAAAGTAAATAAAAATAACATTTGTTTTCTGGCCACAGATGCACCCAGTGTAAAATTGTTTTCAGAAAGTGCATCTTTTGAATGCTCGGATACAGAAAATGACAGGTGGTGTTGAATTTCTTAAAGAAAAGACAGTTTTTTTCCAGTGAGCTCACTTAGTAAAGAAGACACCAATTAGGTGTAGACAGAGCACTGCAAAGTACTGCATTTGCTGAAAATGCACTTCTAGGCCAAACAGAACTACTTGTGAAGTTGAGTCAAAATTGGCAAAGAAAGATCCAGCCAAATAATAAAAACCCAAGAAGGTTAACCTTCTTTATTCTGAGCTGTGCAACAAAGTTCCATCTTTTCATTTTGAAATAACTTATTCCTAATATGAGACTAGGGTATTCTTCCAAAATGTGACATAATATATCTAATGGAATATTCTTTCCCCTTGAAAATAATTCTATCCATTTTTATGTCACTTTTGCCTTTATGTAATACAAGGTATGCCTGTTTATTTCTCATTTTGTCAAAACCCCTCAAACCCTAGTGTTATTCAGCAGCTCTAACATCATCTCAAAGAAGTGTCTCACCCAGAGGCCAATAAGACACAGTCTGTCCTGGTGTCCCAGGAGGCCAGCACAGATTTTTCTTGCTGAAGCTCCTGGGCTGCTGATGCCAGGAGGGCCAGGCAGGATGGGCAGCGTGGCAGGAGCACGATGGGGCAGCTGACAGAAACCCACACGGGAAGCACCAAGCACAGGTCCTTTGTTAAGGAAAGACCTTGTGGGTGAGGTAGGAGAGATCCTGCCATAAAAACCACTTAGAGGATGTCCAGAAAGGGACCTCAGTGACCCAAGGTGAGGTACAGCCCGCTATAAACCTGTGCTCAGGTGGGTGGAAGTGGAGCGCTGACCAAGGCTTTGCTGGCAGGCACAGGGAAACAGGATTAGCACAGCACTGTGTAACAAACAAAGCCAAACTCTGCAGGTCCTCTCTTGCACAGGGATGAGTATTTCTTGGCCCTGGCAGTGGTTAGGGCCATCCCTAAGCAGCTGTCTGCTGGCTGAACTCAGGATGCCCACGGGGACAGGCGAAATTCCAACTGTGCACAAAAGGAGGCTCAGTGCACCCATAGGATGGTGTGTGCATTGTGGTGGGGGAAGGCTGGCTGCCCTGGTGCTCCCATCAGGACAGAGGAGACATTTCAGTGCTGGGATGAGTCCCAGAGGAGCAGTGTGAGGCTCTCAGTTTGGCACACAGGTTAATGCTGGGCCATCAGAGAGCACCAAGGAATAAGCAGAGCATGACACCATCGGTCCCCCGGGGTGGGGACAGGGACAGAAACAGGGACAGGCTGGAGAGGACAGCTGCAGTTGGTGCCCAAACACTCCTGAGAGCATGCAGTGCCATGATTTTTTTTTCTCTTGAAGAGGAAAAATCCAATGAAAGAGATGGAAAGCTTAAAAGAGATGGTGTTTTGGGAAGTTTAATGATTATACATAGAAGCTCTCAAATTACTGCTGTTGGGAAGGAAGAAGAAAGAAGGCAATTATAACAAGTCCTTGGAGGCTTGAAGGACAGAGCTTCCCACAGCATAAAGCTGTGTACAGGCATCCCTAACAACTCAACATCAGAGCAATAGCAGATAGGTGATACATACATCTGGGGCAAGATAGAAGAGGCAGGGCAGGGATTTCTTTAAGGACACTCCATTGTTCCTCTGGTGGGCACCAAGCACCCAGAAACGACTGCCCGTGTCAGAGCTATGCACTGCTTAACGTGCCACCATCAACTCCATCTGTTTAATCGATGCAATCCCATGGAAACACTTCTCTTGCAATTTAAGAGTGGCTTAATACATTCCTAATGAACTGGATCTGAAACAGACCTGACTAAAGTGGAAAACAAAGATCTGGGTTAAGCCAAATAATGTAATTTTTTTACAGAGTCTTTTGCATCCTTTTACCCAGTATCATGTTAAAAACGTAATTTATGTTAAAACAAAGAGAGAAGCCCTAAGATTACTCAGCAGGAAGACAGGGCAGGGTCCTTGGTGCAAAAGCAATGAACCACTGTGAGGAATGAGGGCCCTGACTGCCAGTATTGCTTGCAGCTCTTAATTGTGTTATCCTGTGCTTTCCAGCTGATGCAGGGACCAAAAAGCAGCATGGGAGGAGAGGAGACGCAGGATGAGCTGCCTGCTAAATTATGGTGTATATCTGACTTTCTATCAAATAAAAAGACTAAAAATGGAGACTACTTGTGCACAACCACACAGTTTCTGACGTCATTTTCAATTTTGAGAAGTCTGATCTAACCCCACATTATGCAACTGTTGAATCTTCCATGTTGGCAAAGTCTAATTTTCACACGCCTACGTGCTATGTACCTGACTTTTATTTTTATTTTCAAATATCAACAGCCTAAATCAATTTTTTAAAAAGAGACTTAAATGGTCATAATGGTTATGAAAGGTCCTAGCTCTACACCCATTGTTTCAAAGGAGTTAAAGCAAAAATACTCAAAGCCCATTCTAAAAAACAGGCAATGAAGATAATGTAACAGTAACAGATAAAATGAAAATTCAAGGGACAATTGCAGACAGATCCTATCTCCACCATGGGGATTATATATTCATCTGCAAAAAAGTATTCAATGCATGTTTCATCTACAACCCACCTTTCTTTTAAAGGTCACTTTAATAATCAAGATGTCCCAAAGAAAGAAAAAAGCCCTGGAATTCCAAGAAAAGCATGGCCATTTGATATCAGTCACTGCTGGAAAGCACCAACACAGTGCTTAACCAAGCTGTTGTCTGAATCAAACAAATAACAATATCATGTACACACAAGTACCTTCCTGAATTAATTAAGTTCCCATGTCAACACTCTCAAAACAGATTATGGAGAAAGAGAGAAAAGTTGAAGGAAGTTCTAGGGGAAAGAGCAAAGCTTGGGCTGGATTCTCCTCTCTGGCCCTTTTGACACCCTTGTCTGTGATGAACTGAACTTCCTCCTCACTGAAGGCCAGGGTATGACCTTGCATTTCTCAAAATACTCTTAGAGCTGCTGAATAATCAGTTCAAGAATAAAAAAGCATTTCTGCATCTCGGGTTGAGGGGTTTTTTTTGTACAATCTAGCTCGGTGACTAACTCCTACCCTAGTGCCAGAGAATGCAGAAATCAAAGGAAAGGACTTTGATTTCACATGGCCATTGCCCTGCCAGTATCCTGGGCAGAAATTGGTTTCTCAGCAACACCTTCCAGTAACTTTATGATGCTTTTCAGACCCATGTCTCCTTCCTCACTGCTGCAGAAGTCAATCAATAACAATCAAGTTGCATGCAGTGGGGCATAAGTCCTGTAGAAACCAGCAACATATCACTTTTAAAAATAAACCCCCCAGACTCAGGTGGGCATTTATCAGAGTTGCACATAATGATGGAACTATATGGGTTCAAAACTGAAGGCCAGAGAGAGGTGATGCTGCTAGGCAAGAGAAGTTGCCCTCACTGACTCTCAGCTCTTGAAGTCATGTGTCTTAAAGAGCTGAAACTCATTTCTGCACTGTTGACTTTGTGCTGTATGGGTCCAGGCAAGCACATGAAACCTCTATCAGAGGTTATCTGAAATCCACTGGGGTTTTTTGGTGAATCAGGCCTGATTGGCATGGTCTCTAAAGATACTGGTAGCCGTGAGAAGTGATTCTCCTGACTGCAGCTCATCACAGGCACATTTTACAAACTGCAGGGGCTCCAGCTAATTTCTCTGCTCCACCATGGAATAAAGTCAATTCTGCTAAGAGTGCTGATAGTTCGGTCAAGAAAAAGACTTCTTTTCTGTTTCTATGGGTGCAACAGCCCTTAAGAAAGATATAAATTTCCCTGCAACAACTAACTGCATATTCATTTTAAGGTAGATCTAGTTCCAGATTCCTGAGACAGAACTCTCTACCTGTTCCCAACCCCACAAAGCCAGAGCAGCGATATAGAAAGTTTCTAATCTCAACAGAATTCAGTGAGCAGCACGATTGGTTTGGTAAATAAACAAACAAAAAAAAAAGAAACCCACCAAAAAAACCCCACAGCAAATTTTCAGCCTCTATGTACAAAACCAATGCAAACAAGTGGAATATTCTAGTTATATTTTGTAAAACACACGTTTGGGATCAACAAAACATCGAACATCCAGACCCTAGATTACAAAAAAGATCTATTGCCATCTAATTGTCAACCCCAAGTTTAGACAGTCCTTGTCGGAAATCATGTAATTCATCTATCTTCCCATCTAGTACATCTAAAAAATTCTTTAATTCAGTTTTAAGGTTGGTCTGCCTATGTTTGTTCTCTTCAACTTCTGTCCTTAGCGTTCTGACTTTCTCTTCGAGATCTTTGTTCTTTTTCTCAGCAGCCTTAAAGACAAAAGGGACAATAAAATGAATCATAGAGAAGAAGGATGAGCAGCATTTCACAGATTAAAGCAACAAATGGCAGTTGGGCTGTGAGAGTTTGCTCGAACTTCTGTAAACTGATTAACACAAGCACCTCTGAGAGCAACTGACATGAGCTTGTCAGATTAAATGCCCACGCAGGAAAGGACACAGATTAACTGGAAAAGATGCTTTGCATCAGACTTTGTCATTTGGTTGATATCTTCAAATTCAGCTGGATTTAAATTGTGCAATGTGCATACATTTCTGTCACTGCTACAGTTGCAGAACTAGATACCATGCCATCAATTACATACAGAATTATCTCTGGTGCTTTAACCTTGAAGAACAAACTTAGAAAATACCGTCTGAGGAATAAAGTTGCTTTATTCAGCGCTTTGGGATTTATTGGTATATTTTTAAAGTTCTACTTTATGTGATAGCTTATTTATTGATTGGATTTGACTTTGTTGATGAGACTGCTCATTTTTGTTCTCTTTTCATGTATCAATTTACTGCTTTTGCACAAGACCCGACTGGAGGAGGTGATGCCCAAAGTCCAGCTGCTGGCTGGGGCAGGGCTGCTGGGAAGGGATGACACAGCACACAGACACATCCCAGGTGAACTTTTACCCTGGTGGTGAGCAGCTGTGCTCAGCTGCTTCTTTCCCCAAAGCCTGCCCCGGTACCACTGCAGCATTTAGCCCCAGGTCTAGGGCACATGTGGCAGTGGTGCAGCTCAGAGCCCAGAGCAGCAGAAACATGGGATACAGAATGGCCTGGAACTGCAGGAGATGGATGCTACATGATCCCAGGAAAACCAATTTCTGCAATGGAGCTATTTCATCCCTCTCGTGCTGGGAATGGCACTCTGTATTTTGCTTGTAATTAGTATTTTTTCTTTTTACAAACTAGAGCTCTTTTGCCTTGAAACACTGAAGTCTGAACAGGAAAATACATACAGCTAAGTGAAAAAAAAAAGTAAAGGAAAGGTATCAACTATTTTGAAACTAATTTCACTGCTTAACGTACCTGTAATTGTTCAGATACAGATTCACATTCTGACATTAGCTCTGGTATAATTTCACCCTGCTTTCGGAGCTCTTCCAGTTCCTTTGAAAACAGAAAAGAAAAAATATTAGTGAAAGCTTCAATTTAAAACATAATGGAAATTTGAAAAGATGAAATGGCTTTGCATATTTTATTGTATTCTGCACAGTATTTGGATGGAAAATAATCAAAATAACCTGCCTGCATTCCAAAATTGCTAATTTTCTACAAGAATATATTTTTCACTATATTTTTTACTTTGCATTTCTAAAATAGGCATTGTAATCCAATCTCTTGCATGAATTCCATGAATTATATTAATAAAATCTTAACCTAAACCATAGACCTATGCAAAAGATGTATTAAATACCAAAGAAATCTGAATGGCTGTAATGCTACAAGCAATTTATAGATGGTAGCAAAGAGCAAATTAGACAATTTCAATGATGTATGACAGCAAAAAAAGGCCAGTGGCTTTACCAGCTGCACATATAGAGACACCATTACAGAACACAGGTGTAAAGGGCTTTCCTTCATGGTAGGGCTCTGAGAACCACCACCTACCCCCTCTCCCAAAATCTGTATTTAGTTCTGGCCTCACCACCCAAGCTGAGCAGACTTGATGAATGGAGTCAATGGAAAGAGCAACAGTAGGAATGTCTCTGTTGGAAATTAAGACAACTGGAAAAAAAGTGCAAGATCCTCCTCCAGAAACTGGCCATGTAGGTGATGATCTCCAGAGAATGCAGGGGTGGACCCCTGGACTACCTGGACTTGTGCAAATCATTTGACACCATTCCACACAAGAGCCTTGTCTCAAAATCAGGGTGACATGGATTTGGTGGAGGAACCACTTGGACAAGCATCTCCTACATGAGGAGGGTATCAGCAGCTTCTCTTACATGGCAGAGCCATGAGCAGACTTCATGTGGGTTTGGATTCCAGACCATGAAAGATTACTCATGGGTAGTTTAGAGCTAATTGAGAAGATGCTAATGTAAGCATGAATTTTTAAAACAAGTTAGTATATTTTCAGAGTAAATGGAAGACAGGCTTGTAAAATTCACAAGTCAATCAATTTTCTGGTTCATTTAGTACAGTAAAAAAGTGAATCTTGAGGAGAATTCTAGGAGACAATAAGGGTTGTTATATATGCTATTGTCACAGAAAGGTTGGGAAGACAGCATTACATTTTCCTTTGAAATACAGGGCTGAAAAACACTATATTCATGACAGTGCATCAAAATCCATCTCCCTAAACTATTTCCTTGTGCCACCACAAAACCTTTTAACAGCAGTGCTTTTAAGAGCACCAGCAGAGATGCTGTAATGGCACATGGCAAACTTTACTGCACTGCTTTTCCTCTTCAGCCAGCACACAGCATTTGGTCACTGTGACATTATTTCCCCCACTGTTCTGGTGTTCCAAGCCATCATTCTCCTTGGAAAAATTAACACCCTGTAATATCAAAAATGACAAACTGGGGTACTCTAGATGAATGTGAATTTCTCACTCTTGGCATTAGTCCTGAGATCAGAGTGAGACCATAAACCAGCAAAGCTGCAAACTATGAGCCATCCAGAAAAAAACCCAGGACTTATTACACAAATGCCAAATTATTTTGTAAATGATGTCTTTTTAACTGCAATCCTGATGTATATGGGAAATTTCAGCATGGGGAGAGTCAAATGAATCTGTTCTCAGCACACATCTGTCTGGCACTGGGCACCACTGGGTACCTGGCTCTCCTACAAGGACAAGTGTTGTGTACATAAAAGCATCCTTTTCTAACCCCTGCCAAATTACAGTGAGCAGTCACAGCACATAACACATCATGAAACTTGGATGGAGAAACACCACTGAACAAGGGACTGTACATGGAAAGCCTAGAAAAAGGCAACATGCCAGGACACCAGGCTGCTTCTGGTGGTAGCTGAGCCACTCCATAAATCTACACCCAAGGACAGAAGCAGACAGCCCCACTCAAACATGAAAATGCCATTTCTGTGTTCAGGGCACTCACCAGCTCTTTGTCCTGAAGTTCTGTTTCCAGTTCCTGGAGACGTCTACTCAATTGTGCATTTCTTTCCTTCTCTTTATTTATTTCATTGCACTGTTCCTCCAATTCTTCAATCTTTAAGAAATATCAGACATTAGGTGAAAATTTTCAAATTTCTGAAAATCTGGGGCAGAACACAGCTGATGAAATGGACATGGGATCTGTTTCCTAAATCACAGCATTTGATTCACTGCAATCAAATTATCACTTCTTTCCTTCAAAAGAGTCAATTTACACATCCACTAGGAAACCCTGGGTCTGTATTTATCCTCTCTTACATTCTCTCTTAAAGATACTCAGGAATGCACAAAATACTGAGCTGCTAAAATAAGTGGAACTGGGGATAAAATCTGCACTTCACTCTTATGAAGCCAGCACAAGGCTACAAGGAATGGGTTTTCTTAACACAACAAGGAGAAGAAATCTCTTGGGGGTTGCTTATTATTCTAGCTGGTGTATGAGGAACACAACATCAAAACTTTGAGGGGAGAACCAGTTCAGAGTAACATCTGCTGCTTTGTTCTCTCAAAGCCCAGGGATGTGCTTTGCTCTCTCCAAACCTCCTGCTGCCAGCTCTGGACCCAGCTCCCAGGAGATGCACTTCCCACAGGCCAATGGACCAGCTCATTAAAGTATGTACTTTAATTCTCAGCCTCATGTTGCTTTGGGATTATAACTTCCCTCATTTGAAGGTAGAGTGATATGCAAAAAATTCTGACCCAATTAATAAAGGAGAAGGAACTTCCCAGGGCACTGCAGTGGTGCAATGTGAGCACTGAGCAAGGAACCTACTTGGGGGAAAACCTCAGACAACCTCCCTGTATAGAGAAAGGCATTATAAAGACAGCATTGCTGCACAGTCTGGCTGGTCACCAGCAGGGTGACTTTGAAGAGGCAGCAAGGTGGTGTTTTAATAATCTCTTCTTCTCTAGTACAGCTACTCAGATGTGGCATGTGTTGATGAGAACAATTTTTCCCTGCAACAGTACAGAAAGGAATTTAACATCCCTGCAAATTATGATATTTTCCCATAACATACTGATCCAGTCTCTCACTTCTCCCCTATCCACAAGAGACTGGATATAGGAACCCAAATCACGTAACAACTAATATTAATTTGTTACTGTAACATCAGTTAATGAAGCTCTGGTTTGATCTCTGTGTTACCACTGTGCACCCATAAAACGCAAGTGAATAAACAGTGAGTATCAGCCTCAGAAAAAAAGGCTGTTCCACAAGGATTTTCAGTTTCAACAAACAACCCAAACCACCCCCAACACTGAAATACTACTTGTAGCCTACTGATGTGAAATTCCTTCCCTCTTCAAAAGCAAACACTAAACAAAAAGATATCCTCACCAGACCGATACAATCTGAACTCTACTTCAAATGTCCCAGTGATCCATCTAAGCAACAGGAAAAGGATCCAGCTTTTCCAAAAATATTTAGGAAGAATAGTGTGAAAATATCCCTGCAAAAGCAGTGCTTCTGGAAAGCAGGATCCCCTGTGCCAAGGATCCCTGTGCTCATAGAGGCTATTGCAGATAACACAGTATTATTTAAGATATGATACTAATGACTACTCTGAGGAAAACAGGACACCATGAGGTGGTTTCACCTTGTATTGCTGTGAGTTGTTATTCTTTACCTGTCTGCAAAGTCCCCCACTGCAGTGTGCTCACCATTAATTTGTTGCAATATGAGGAAGAGTTGAACGGTTGTTCTCTGCTATAGCCATTGCTAACCCTCCATCTTACACAACTGACAAATGTGCTCACTAATGAAGAGGAGAAGGCTTTTGTTGATGCCTGCTGGCAGGTTTCTGGATGAGATGTGCCAGGTGTTATTACTGGAGGACCCGGATCACAGCCCACAGTGTTGAGGAAATAACTCACATCTTCATTCCCCTGCACACTGCTGGGATCTGCTTCTAATACTGAGTGGTTCCCAGGCTGGGCTCCTGTGAATAACCCGGCCACAACCTTGCCTTCTGCTTATCCATATCTGGCAGTATTTCAGTGAGCTTTGAAAGGGATATGCAATAGCAGCCACACTTTTAGAACCTTCCTGGTTTCTCACCCCAGCCAGCAAGCCCTGCTGACACCAAGTCTCCCAAATCCCAAAATAGGGAACTTCACGTGATGTGGCAGCTCCTCTGCTCCCTCCCTGCCCGCTGTGTGCAGAGGGGAGCAGCTGCTTCAACTCCCCATCCATGTCCCTTTCACAGACAACTCCATCTCCCAGCACAAACACTGAGAAAGCTGCAGAGATCCCAAAGAAAGAGCCATGGTGGGAGCAGCTGATGGAAGGGCAGCTCTCCCGTGGCATGTTCTGCTACCTTGCCCCTCAGCTGCTCATTCTCCTCCTTGCAGGCTGAGAACTGCTTCTTCCAGTGCTCGATGCTGGCCGCAGACTCCTGCAGCGCTGTGGACAGCCGCGCGTTGCTCTCCCGCAGAGACTGCAGCTCCGTCTCCCACTTCTTCACGTTGGATGAACTGAGGAAAACAGGACACCATGAGGTGGTTTCACCTTGTATTCCTGTGAGTTGTTCTTCTTTACCTGTCTGCAATTTCCCCCATCATGGTGTGCTCACCATTAATTTGTTGCAGTAAGAGGAAGAGCACTCAAATGTGTGTAATTGCCTTTAGCCTACGGAGAACAAAAGCCTTAATTTGACTGTCTCTGTCAAAACAAAGGCATCTACCAAGCCCAGCAGCAGTGGCCTGTGTCTGGAACAAAAGCCCTGCTGTCAGGGCAGGCTGTAGGGTCCAGCTGCCCATTTGCACACAGGGGTCTCACCCCGGCAGTGCAGGGTCCCTGTCACCTCCTGAGCTGTGTGGCTGCAGCACCCGGGGCTGGGCACCTGGCACCCCTGCAACACAGCCACTCTGCACATCTGTAGATGGCACAGCAATTCCAAATGGAAGATTTCAGGGGGTTGACATGATCTATATTTGAATTTATTTTAATGCTGAGTCTTAACTATAAAAGTGTTACATAATGCTGCAGAATTAAACTACTCATTCCCCAAAGCTTCGAGCTGCAGCCCAGAGCTCAAGATTAGAGGGTGAACAGGAGGAAGGCTTTGAAACTCCCTGTGTGCTACTTGCTGCCTGCCTGTGGATGTGTCCTCAGCAAGAGGAATGAGCTAACATTACTATTTGAAACAGGTTAAGCTATTGAAATGTCAATAAAGAGAGACGCTGTACTTCAAACATAATATATGCAACCTTGGAATTGCTCACTGGATAATGCTGCTTACATGATGCTTTGTTTTTTAAATACCTTTTTAAGAGTAGCTTGATCTTGTTAGATTTTTTTTCCATTCGCAGATACAGATTCACATGCAAGAGGCAGACAAGGCAAGATCCCAATAGAGAATTATTCTATTTTAATGTTGGAACTTTGCATATTGCAACGCCTGTATTTTCACTACAGCTGCAAATTACTCTTCTCAGCATTTTCAAATTATTTATCAAAGCAAATAGCAAAAAATGTGATTTCAAGGGGTTCTGTCCACAATTTAGAAATATCCCCTAAGACTTTCAAGCACTCTGATGAAATTATACTTCTCACTTCAACTTTGTATGGTTGAGTTCATTCCCTTTCATAATTTTAAATATCCATATCTATTTTCATCAAAGTAAGTGCAGCAAACTCAAAGAGGAAGAAAGATTGGCTTCACATGTTATCAGCAGCAATTGCTCCCCTATGGCTTTAATGTTATTTCTGTAGTTCTAAAACTTTGTGAAAGAAGATGGTTATAATAGTTGGCATCAGCAGAATAAAAGAAAGCCTATTTCTTCACAAACTACATCAGGAGTAAATGAAATGGGAAATATTTCTGGATATCAAGAGGTACTTGCTAAAATCTCTTCATTCATCCATTCTGCGGCACCATTTTAAATTAATTACAATCTGAATAATTTCTGTTAATATCATTATCCATCAGATAATTACAGCACACTTTCTAATGCAATTTCGGTTCTACAGGAACTTCACCTTTGGGCTAGAGCAATTTTTAATTTATCATTCTCAGATTTGAGATGTGCCTCAGCAGGGCCACCATGTGATGCCTTCTCGTCGTCTGTGCCATTCACACTTGAAGCTCGAGTGGAAGAGGGAGTTTCACGTCCAGACTCCTGCAGCACAACACACAAACGAACACTGGGTGTCTCCTGCATCTCCTGCAAGACCACAACACCAATTTCTTTGTAATCTTGATCCCACACCACTTGGCTGAGACCTCGGCTCTCCTGGCAGAACAGTGGTAACACACACATACCCTTTTCATCTTGGCTGCAAAGCTGGTCTGTTTAAAAAAAATGAAAAAATTACAATGATACACAAATGAAAGTTTAAAGTGTTCAAAACTTTTTAAAAGTTTTTTTTTTCCCTGATAAGGCTTGTGTTTTTTAAAAGTTGTTTGGGTTTTTAAGATAATGAAACAATACAACACACAAAGTGCAAACAAACATAATACTGCTCCTCCAAAGACATACTATTCACACACTGCTTGGTGCTGACCACCAACAGAGAACAAACAAAGTGAACTACAAAGACCATGACCAAAGTCTTTACAAAATGAATATCCAAAGTCAGCCACTCAGATTGATATCTGTGGGCCCACAAATGGGGGTGGTTGCAAGACTAAAACCATTCAGCAGCTTTTTCTGATCATTCATCCAAATTCCTCTCTGATCAAAATCTGTCTAACTTTCCTCCAAACATTAGCCCAGGCCAGGAACCTGCTGAGCAGGGCTCACTCTTACCTAAAGCAATGCACACGAAAATACAGCCAGCCATGTACAGAGACTGGGACAGCTCAAATTCTTCAGTTTGTAGGAAAGCCAGACCTTGCTGGACTGAGGCACTGGGTGGTACAAGGTGTGCTGTCCAGGACAGTGTGCTGAGCAGATAAACAACACAGGCTTCTTCCAACCCCCTACAGCACTGCCCTGCTCCCACAGCAGCCACCCCTCAGCAAGGGAACCCTGGGCACAGTCAGGCAAACCCCACAGAAGTGTGTTGGACAGATAACAAAAAGAAGGATATTGATGAATCTCATTTAGTGTCTGCTGAAGCACTACACTGACTGACTTCCCAGTGACTCAAACTATGTTTAGCAGTACAAATCAAAAGATGTATATCTTTCCCTGTTATTAAAAACATTGTAACAGCTCAAGGACTGCTGAAAAAATTAGATTTAAATGAAAGTAAAGGGCATGGAGAGATGAAAAATATTCCTCTGACAATGCTAATGTCCAGCAGCTGACAATTACCTTCAGCAATCTCCATTTTATATACTTTAAGCTGGCTTCCAGAAGCTGGCACAGTCCATTTGAAAATTTAACTTTAAATTATTTATCCTGTATGTGTACAGGTATTAAAGCTAAATTACAAACCTGTGAATGATTGCTTGAGGTCTCAATTTTCTCTTGAGATCTGTCTCTTGCAAGTTTGGCAGCTTCTTTTACTTCTTGGAACTTCTCTGCAAACTAGAAAAAGCATGAAAGTTATTTATTAGCATGATTTATCATCTATGAAACCATTAAGACTGCTATCTTCATATGGTATAGATGTCCAAAAATGAACAACTAATTTTATTAATTTAGAATTTTTGGCAAGAAAAAAACATTTTAATTCTTTGGCAGGATGTCTCTTCCAAAAGAAATGGGGGTGTTGTTTCTAAAAGAGGGACATCTCTGCAACTCTGGCCAACCACAGTAAAAGCCCATGGGGGAAAAGGAACATTTTGTATCTCCTGGTTTGATTTGGTCCTATTTATTTCCTCCCCCTGCTCGTTTTCCCTTGGTGTTGACAGTGTATTAAAGCCAAAAGTATTAAAGACATATGTTTGGATAAAAATATTATCAATGTCTTCTATGTCTGAGAACAAGTGAATTCAATTAAAGAATGCAAATAAGTTCATCTGCAGAAGGCAAGCAGGAGATTATCAAGACAAAAGAAAAAGGAGAAGAAGGAAGATCTCAATATATGATGGAGTCATATGAAAACATAGCTTCTCTGTTCTTATTTTCTTATTACTTTCAAAAATAAAGGTAAAAGACTTCAGATAAAGGCTTGACTGCTTCCTGTAAGAGGGATACATCAAACTGGGGGAGGTGAGAGGAAGGAAAGATAAAGATGGAAGGCAACAATCCCAACCTCTATGAGTTGCTGTAGGACATCTGCTCCAAAGCCAGCCTGGCATTTTTGAAATGCAAGTATTATCACAGCCAGTCAGGGTTGCAGGGCTTCAAACACTTTAAACAGTATTTAAAATTTTAAAAGGAGGATTACAGAGATGGAAAAAAAAAGTATAATGCATAATTTATTTTTAAAATTATGATGTATCCACTATAAGAATAGGCAACTTTATCTTTCAGGTAAAACTGCTTGGTCTTGCTTGCCTGTGTTTTGAGAAACTTAAAATGCTAGAAAGGCTAGACATTTTAAAAGTAAAGGTATAAACAGATGAATTTATTGTACAGATTATGACAAAAGGATTGCCATTATACCCTTGGGTAATTCAGAACACTTATGAAAAAACCGTAAACAAAAGCATGAAAAAAATCATCCAATTTTACAGTTGAAGAATAGAAAGAAACATTATTCACTTAGTAATCTTGCCTTCTAACTTTAGATTTACAGCAGGTATTTAGCATGCTCTCCCAGTAAAATGCTGGGGCTGCAGAGACTGATTAAACAAACCTTCTCCATTTGGTCTAAAAGAAACCTGGATTTACAAGTGGAGGCACGCGTGCTTTGTGTAACACACACACATCATGGTTAAATCCCAGGGTATTCTGAAAGGACACTGACATTGTGGGTGCCCCCTGGGATGTGTGCTGATGCTGGTGAGTGGGGATGGAGCTCTGGGGCCCAGCTGCTCCCCGAACCTGGGCTGACATTGCACATGCAGAGCGTGTGCCCTTGGATGGCAGCAGTTGCCATCTGATGGCATTGCAGTCACTACACGCACAAATGGCTTGATTACCTCTCTAGCACTCCACAGATCGTTAAGAACAACCACATTACATTTGTGCTTTAGTGATTTAACTCTAACTTTACACAAAGCATCTCTCCCGCTGTGACAGAGCAGCTATAACCAGCTGATTATTTCTAAAATATTGTATCAATAGTAAGTTCCACATTTGTGCTTCTTGTGGATAGTGTAAGGCTGTTTTGAGTCTGTCTTTTATAATAAATCTTTCTCTTTTACGATAAATCTCTTCATCTTATGTATGAAAAATTTATGAGGGTTCTTCATGGATGATACAAAATATGGACAGACAAAAAGAATTGGAAGTGATCTATCAAATTTTATTTTGCAGCTCTCTTCGTAAAGCACACTGGAGACTGCTGTGAAAAATTATGTGAGCTGGGAAGAAAAGGACGTTTTTCCACATTTCCATAATAAAAAATTGCGTATGATTGAGCAATGCTAATCTTCAATACTAACCCAATAATAACCTCATTGCATAAATGATTTCAGTCGTGTCTCTAGTTCACCAACACATGTATTAAACTCATTTGCATTTAGAAAGTCATTGCTGTTCTGAGAGGGGCAGTGCCAGCCCCAGCTCTGCAGCACTGCAACACCCATTGCACAGGAGCAGAGCAGGAGGTTCTGCAGCTACCCAGAGCCCAAGGCTGTCTGAGACTGTGGCACGGCCACTGAGCCAAATTACCAGGAGAAATCAGAGCTCATTTCTCTCCAGTAACCAACTGCTTCTGCTCCAAACACAAATAATTGACAAATTGGTACCACAAAATCATGCCCCACCTCCAAGGTCTAAGTTGACTTCAAGCCATCAAACCATTACAACAAAAGGGAGTGCTTAATGAAAGTCTAAATACCCCAAACCAACTACAAGAATTCATAATGTTTCTTCTCCTTAGCTCCATGCTTGCCCTCTGGCAAATTTCCCAAAATCAGCAAAAAAAACCCCAAACAAAACTGGAGTAGGAGAAATGCCAACTGAACACTACCCCAACAGTCCATCATGGATTATAGGACATGTCTTCCCACAGGAAGCTGTGTGACTAAGCTGCAAGATGGAGAAGATTTGCTGCTACCAACACTTGTGAAACCTTTTGGTCAGGCAGCTGCAGCCACGAGCACTGCCTGATTAAGAGTCTTGGCCAGTGAAATTTAATGGGGACTCGAGGATGCTGCTGTGCATTGTACAAATTATTTAAAGGCTGTTCAAATCCACAGTCAGTTTGTCACCAGGAGAAATATATATATATATATATATATATATATTCAAATAGACCTCCTTAGCATTTTATACATTAAAAAGCATGATTTTGTACGCATACATTTTAAGCTCCTGGTCTGGCATTGTATTTTATGTCTCCTACTGACAAATTGTGCCAGTATCAGATGAAACAGCTGCTCCCACCCAAAGCAGGCTCATAAATATTTCATTTCCCTCTGGGTTTGCAGGAGGCTGGGTGATGTGAGGGCCCCGGAGAGCACCACTGTGCTGTGACCCACAACACACACACACTTTTCCTGTGGTTCTCCTGGGATCAGCCCTAAGCACGGGGTACATGGGCTCCCAACAAGACTATTTAGCCCAGAAAGTGCCCAGATATTTGCTCCATCCCAGCCAGGGCGTGCCCAGCTCTGATGCCAGCTGGACCAGTGTGCTGTGTGCTGGGGCAGGGCAGACTCTGCCCCGAGCTTGCTGCCCTGCAATGCAGTGACTGGCACACATAATGTGCAAGAGTGCAGAGAAATAAAGTCCAGGGCTTCCCAGGGGCCAGAGGCAGCTGCTTTATGATGTGCAAAGTCTGGCTTTACAGGGTTTCTCACCCGTATAAATCCTTGTCCCTATGCCCTTGACTACCTGCAGCTCCTCATATATAGCACGGCTGCCTCAAAGCACCCTGAACGGCAGCAGAAATCTTCTTTAACCACTTGGTGTGCAAAATTCAGCACTACCTGTGCAGCACCAGCCCTGCCTCTCCACACCCACACTGTCAGCATGCTGTGATTCCTGCCTCAGAGTGGCTCAAGCAAGGTTTGAACAATACCTTGAGACCTTTCTGAGGCACAGGGTGGGAAGGGGGAAAGGAGGGGTCAGTGAGTCCTGCAAAACTGGAAAAGGACCCTGAGTCGGACATCAGCTTCAAGCCCTGGGATTCTCCCAATCAATGTGAATGGTAATTAGGTTACTGGGTCATGGAATGCAGTTTTCATTAATGGCTCATCTTTAATTTGAATTGCTTTTCCCTACAGGTATGGATTAATGCTTTAAGTATCTCAAGAGAAGCAAAGCATTAGAATGAGGCAGTATCTTTTATTAGGCCAAGCAATATACTTAAAAATGCAGGCATTTCTAGGCGTGCTAGCCTCTTCTCCTGCCTCATTATTTTCTGTTGCTTTCAAAAGACATTTTTCAGCTTTATTTATTTATATTTATTTTAAGCCAGGGCTATTGATCTCTGGTTTAGGGGAGTTTTAGTGTGCCCTTCCAATTCCTGACTAAGCACTTTAATTATTTCCCGTAAAATAGGCAAGCTTTAATTTATACCTTTTATAAGAGTGTAATGATATTAATATAAAATGAAACTTGATTTTACTATTCCCAATACACTTATATAGCTGTAATCTCACTCTCAACTCTGATCTTTCTTACTAATGGCTCAATAATTAAACGGAGAAGCATAGATAATAAAGGAGTATCTTTATCCCATTGCTTTGCATGATGGTAATAAACCAGGTCTTCTTATATTTTTCAGCTCGGTAACTGTCAGAGTTTTGGTTTTTTTCTTTTTGAAGAGATCATCTCAAGCTATTTTCAGAAGTGCTCCCCTTAAGCTCCCTCTCAGTATTCTGACCAGAAAAAGCCTTTCATGCAAGTAGAAGGTTGTATTTTGGGCAGTGGGATCTTCAGCAGATCATGCAGTGCAAACAAATGTGCAAAATTACTTGGAAAGAAACACAGCTGGTGCTGCTGCCCCTGGACCCACACAACTTGTAATTGGTATCACAACACGGTATCAGCTGAGCTGATACCAGCAATGCATTTCTTCTGAGCACGTGTTTGAGAAGGTCTGCAGAACATGGTAGTATTTCTCTGATTAGGGTGCAAGGTCCTCCAGATGTACCTCCTGCCTTACTATAGTGAATCCAGTGCCTTATTTTATTATTTACCTCTCTTCTTCTGAGCCAGACTCAGCACCACGTGCTCCAAGGGGTACACAGTGCATGTTTAGCCCCAGCATGGCACTGAGGCACTTTGGGGTCTCATGTCATGTTGCAGAGGCATAACTTCAGTAATCCAGGATTAAAAATTCCTATCCACAGGTGCTAATTCTCCCGTTCAGTGTTCAAAGGTTGCATTACATCATGTTTATCTGTTACTCAAAACAAATTATTCCCCTAGGTCTGTTTTAATCCTCCCCTATTCCCACACATCTGATTAGCTACTCTGAACACCTCTTTGTCCCAGGAGTGAAGAATATGCATGGGTGAAATGAGCAGTCCTGTACACCTGAGTAAGCATCATAAAACATTATCATCTCCAGCAACTCATTTTTAAACAATCTTTGCACATCATGCCTTTATCATTCCTGAAGAACAGATTAATGCCTGGCACTTTTATGGGCATCCCAAGTCCAAAAATAATTTTACATATGACAAGTAAAATAATCTTTACCTTTAAGAAACACTTACAAAAATGCAATTCTCTGGAAATTGCGAACATTTATTAAGACAGACTTACTAAAATAAATTCCTATAACAACTTGCTTGATAGGGAAGGCCTTCTAGTGCAGTGCTCTGCCTTTGCTGCTTTAGACACCACAAGAAACACTTTTTCCTGATCCTTTTCTTATTAAAGCTCAGGAGAGGAAAGCAACCTGAGAGGCTGTGGCATGCCCAAGGACATCCTGCTGAGGTCACTTATGAAGCCCAGTGCCAAGCAGCCAATGCTTCAGGAGTCAAGTATGTGTTAGATAAGTAGGGCTTTTTACCACATGAACAATCATCTCAGCTGCTTGATAAGCACTTGTGAAGACCACTACTCCAATGACAGAGTATTTTCAGGTGCTGGTTATTCAGAATAAGAGGCTGCTCTAGCCTTTACAAGCCTGCTGATGTATCCAGCCCCTAGTCCAGGGGAGTGTTTCATTAATACCAAACTCAGGATGAGGGGTTTGGTGCTAATGCAGAGGCAGTTTTGTCAGCAAGCCTGACATCAGCTCTCCCTGGCCACTCATGCCCTGCCACCAGCAGAACTCACTGCTACCCACAGACCACCACAGATAATTCCAGAGCTGAGTGACTTGCAGCGCTGAAGAGGACCTGCAGAAACACACAGGTTGGAGATGTGCTGCCCTGCATTAACAAGAAACAAGACAATTGCAGCAATGCAGTGAGCCCTGGTACCTTTGTCAGCTGCTGCTCAGAGGGGAAGCCCAGCCCGAACACGGTGTTGGCTCTGCTGTCTGCCCACTGCCCAAACTTCTGCGACGTTTTGGTGAAGGTCATGTTGGGGGTGATGGTGCTGTTTATGATCACCTGGTCACAGACAGAGCAAAAAAAAGAATTAAAATCTACAAGTCACATCGGAAATGCATATCCTAGCAACGGTATCATCCAAAGCAATTAGCGGTCTAAATTGGGAAATTGCTGCGTTCAGATGATTTTTTTTTTTCCAAAACAAAACAGTTTTTTGTTGTCTTAAGTCTTGCAGGGGTTCTGATGCTTTGTCTTGTTTTTCAAAGTACCATCACAGCCCTGCAGTTAAATGTGGCTGCTGGAATGTGACTGAACTCAAAGTAGGGTCAGGAGCCACAAAACTACCCTGGCAGAAATGCTGATACAAAATCTTCTTTTTTTGCATTAGGAAGCCATACAGCCACTGTCCCAACAGGCACCTGCTTGAGGCCTCCAAGCAGGGCATCCACCAGTAACACTTCAACCCAGACCTGGAGGGCAGAGACATATTTCTGCATTTTTCCATTTGTCCTCAGACCTCCACAAGTAGGGTGCCAGAGATATATCAGAAGTTTAATACAAAACCAGACAATAAAAAACAATACAGCTTAACAATGAGTTTAACTTGGGAGGGTGGTGAAGCACATCACCAGCAATGCATATACAGTATCAAATTTGGGCCTTGGAATATTTTGCCTCTTTACACATGTTAACTAATATCTGCTTCATCACCAGCAACCCTGAAAACAACAGTGATTCTTGTAATTAAAGAAATAGCCAACAAGAGGAAAGCTTTTGGTTGGAGTCTCTGAGGAACTTAGTGGAACAAATATAAAATGTAATATTGCTAAAAGGAATGAAGTATATGTTAGTTCATTATCAAAAATCTTAACTTTATTTTCAAGAGACATCATTATATGAGTCTAGCGACTTCTTCCCCTAGAAATTAATTCATGTACAATGTTCTTTCTGCTAGCAGAATAAGAGCGTTCTTTAGTAATGCATACCATCATTTCCAAAATGCAAATTATGCAGTAATTAAGCCCAATCTGTGGGACAGTTTAATTAACATGATCAGGAAGTATCCTGGCAACATCATTTACTATGTATTCCAAGCAGTTTTTTCCTAAACTATCATTTACATTTAGTGAAAAGTGTGAATTAAATTTACCAGAGTAAGATTCCCTACTTGCTTCCATTGCCTCCCTGACTTCGGACCCCTGTGCTGACACCTTCATTTGCTTGCAAATTACTCAACTTATTTCCCTCTTTTCGCATCAACGCTTTCAAATAAACCTAATATTTTCTGCCATTCCCCACCACTGGAATGGCAGAGCCCACACACAGGTTGTGGCTGCTCCATCCCTGCAGTCTCAAGGCCAGGCTGGATGGGGCTCTGAGCACACTGGTCTGGTGGAAGGTGTCCCTGCCCATGGCAGGGGTGATCTTTGAGGTCCCTTCCAACCCAAACCACTCTGTGATTCTGTGATCAGTTTCCAGGGCTAACACATCTTCTTCAGACGCTGGTGCACAGGCAGAGGAATGAGCAAAGCTGCCCAGATGTGTTCTCCTCCAGCTAAGTCGTGCCATAGGAACAGCCAACATAAAATCTAAGTGTCATTTCAGTAAGGTAAATGAAAAAAAATCGAAGATTTTATGTAGGGATTTGACAATGCAAAGGACCTGTAATAATACAAGGATTACATGGTATGAGAGTCAAAAGAACAGGAAGAAAAGCTACCACCCACCCCAAAATTCAGCATGCTTTCCAGAAACTTTAAAGAAAGTGTTATATGTATATTTCTGCTTAAAAAAAATCTTACATCAGACAGATGAACCACTTACAAATGTCTGGCTTCTCAAGTAACAGAATTTATTTTAAAAGCTATAAAGTTCCCAGAAATTTCAAGTCACAGAAAGTATTATTACAGTCCTGCTGTGCCTAGCAACTTAGACATATGAAGAAAAAAAATAATAAAATGACCAGTTTGATTGAAAGGCAAAAGCTTCATTCACTAATAGCTGACCCTGAGAAGAATAAAATTCCTCCATACCTCCTACAATAATAATTGAGAAAATACAAACATTAAAAAAACCCACCCTAAAGTTATCTTTTACAACACAGTTCAGTGTTACGAGATGTGATAAAAGGAATAACAAAGGCTGCAAACTGTAAACCAAGGAACACCTTATTGAGCAATGAAAAGCACTACATAAGCTGAGCAACTTAGAAGTTAATTTTTTTCTACAGCCAGTGGAGAATCCAAGGAAAGGTTGTGGTGAGCACACAACTCCAAGAAACTGACAGTTCATCTGTTAAATTTATAATAAGCTGCTATTAGTGAAACTGCCTGGAAGCTGTCTCTACCTTTCCCCTTAAATCCTCCTCTGTCAGTCAGGCACTTCAGAAATGCTGCATTCCTACAGAGAAGTGGAAACTTAAGTAGAAGCTTAGGAGATTAAATCAGAGCTCATGTTTCTGTGAGTTCAGAGGAGATGGATGCTGTGGGTACATTGTGCTTATTCACCCGCTCTTCCTGCCCATCTCACCCCATCTGCTGTACATTCACCTCCCCACAGATCCGGCCATCATTTCAGAGCAGTGACACTCCACTGGCGAGGGAACAATCACATTGGTTGTGTTTAGGAGAAAGAAAGAGTGCTATGATTTCAAAGAACAATGAAAACACTGAGGCTTGCAGGTGTTCCTGCCAGGTAACCCAGCTTAGCCCCACTGCCGTGGCTGGCTCAGCCCTGGCTATGTGAGACCAGAAGGAGAGTGCTCCCCACCACCCCTCCATCCTCTGGGCACATGGAGGCAGGGGGAAGCATTTGTGACCACCACAACGGGAAAGGCCAAATAAAAAAGGAGAGAAGTACAAGGGCACTATTTTGCTGCAGGCAGGACGAGCCCCCCAGGCTCTTTTCCATCCTTATCTGCAATCCAGCATGATCATTCTATAAGAAATGGGCACTCATCAATTCAAATGAGCCCTTATGAAATTCTTTGCATTTGGCCATCATTTGTATAATACATGCATGGTGAAATTCCAGCTGCATCCTAAAATGGAATCAACTTGTGGACTTTCATCCAGGATAATGGATTCAGAAGACAAACTACTCTCTAATCAAATGCAATCAGTCCCTGAAGTGGTTAAAGAGTTCTCCCCAAAGACAAAGGCAAAGAGAAGTATAATATAATAAGCACCTTACAGAATAATAAACCCATTCATCATACTCAGTTGTCTACATGTGGTAAAAAAATCTGCCTTTGCACTCACCTACATGCAAATGTATCAGATGGCAAACATTCCTGATACACCTGCATGAGCCAAGCAAAAGCTCGTACTATTTTCACTTCCTTCGGGAGAAAATCAAACCTGAGAGATCTAAATTTTTATCTGAGGATGACACAGAAGTGTGTTCGCAGCACAAGGCAGCACTACCTCACCCAGAAATGACTCCGGACATTCAAGAACACACTGGGTACATTCATCAGATAAAGGTGAATGCAAATAAACCGGTGTGGAGCAGAACATTCATCGGCTGAAACACACCCATCCTGCTGCCTTCCCACGGAGAGAAACTGCCGAATAAATCAAGAGGGAAGAGGTCACAAGACGACCGGAGCGCGTAGAAGGAGAAAAACGCGTTGGCAGCCGCCGGTGCTCATGAAGCATGAGCAGAGCCCGCAGGTGCAGCTGCTGCCTCTTTGAGGGGAACACTCGCAGGATTTACAGGGCTCCACTCCCGCACCCGGCAGCGCAGGGAAGGGGAAAAGCCGATGCGGTGCTGGAAGCGCTCTCCCCGGGGTCGTACCCTCGCTGGCACAAGGGGAGCCGCGGGGGCGCAGGGCGAGCGCCGAGCGGCAGCAGCAGCCGGGCAGGGCCAGCCCCGCGGCCAGCGCTCGCCCCGACCCCAGCGGGCTCGCCACGGCCACGGCCACGGCCACGGCCACGGCCACGGCCACGGCCACGGCACGGAAAGCAGCGACACAGCGAGCCCAGCTCCAAGGCCAGGACAGCAGCACTGCAGAGCCCGAGGGCGAGGAGGATGCTCACCGGCAGGAATGTGCCGGGACACGCACCCCAGGGGTGATGAGCCGTGTCAGCCAGCCCTGCCACCAGCTCCTCCACCTAGGGAAATGCTGAAATAACAGCTATCAAATAGCTAATAAATGTATTTTATTAAATGGCTAATATATTTTCAAACTGTGTTAAATTAAATCACCTTATTCCAGGACAAGAGTGCCGTATTTGGAATTATTCTGGAATTTCCCCTTTAAATTCATATTACCTGTTACTCTGAAACAACCACACCTCCAGAAAAGCCCCAAGGCTCCAAGACACAGGATCTATTCCTTAAGACTATACTAAAATCTCCCCATTTCATTTTCACACCTCTTAATATGTGCTTCCATCTTACAGCCCTCGTGAAATTTAATTTCCTCAACCCACCAGGCTGCTAATCTTCAGTAAAGATGTATCCCATTCTAAAAACAGAATTGCAGAAGGAAAGAAGCTACTAATCCTCTGGCCATAGCTATCACAGGCTCAGCAGGTTCTTCCAGCTCATCAAGTCGACATGAATCAGAAGGGCTTGTGACACAGGATGTGAAGATGAGGAGTCAGAGGTGGATTTACAGAGAAATTCCTCCTTTATCCCAAATATTCAGCAACACTTTTGTGGAATTAGCCCACCTACATTTCCATGATCTGTATTACCCTTTGCACTATCTAACACCCTTCCTACCTCTGCTTCTAGACAGGATGTAACATCTTTTCACCAGTATGTCACTGGTGATAAACTTCTCATTTCTAGTCTTAGAAAGCCAGTCCACACGCACACACACATTGTTAATCAAGGCAGTGGTAAATAAAGGGAAACAAGAGAGTCCCTCGCTGAGACCACCAAGCTGAGTAAAGCCAGGGAAGCACAAAGACACACAAAACCAAAAATAGCAATAGCACTTATTCTAGCTTTGCTTTATCTGCTGCACCTTACACCTACATGGCACTTTTCCTGGGACAGGCTGAGGGTATGGAGTAACTAGATTGGGAGCACTGTAAGTGTACATTAAG